AGGCTAAATAGTGGTAAAACTATTTTATTAAAAGTCAACGTTTCGACCCATCTTTGCAGGTCTTCTGCAGGGAGGTGTGTTCAGCTAGGAGTTTTACTTCGAACTGGAAAGTTCCAAGTCAAACTCCTAGCTATATAAATATAGCTATATGCTTTATATATATATATAAAGCATTCCGGCTGAAGCGCCCTCACACAATGGTTGGAATGGTCCTATTCGACGTCGACAACATTTTGAACGTTCGGCATGTTTATGGTCTTTTAAGTTCACCACCATCATTGTAGGCGCATACTATTCCTTTGTCTAAAACCAATTCCTGTTCAGCCGGGTTTACACATTGTCCAAACCATATAGAGGACGAGAGTTTATAAACATAGTTATAGTTGGCTCGCGCATGTTTCCCTGACCGACTTCAGACAGAGTAATGTTATGTGATTTCTATCGTAAGGTATGAAATTGCGTAAAATTCTTTTATAATTTATAATGTCGAGAATTTTGAATCGGGCAAATAATGAGCGAAAGCTTTACGAATACTTTTTTAGGAGCACTTAAATTAAATAAATGCGGATTGATACTTTATCACTTCAGTAGAACTAACAACGAAAGATTAAACCTATAATCCCTTCAATCAAAATTGAATGTCCGTCCATTAAACATATAATTAATTGAAGCATTTTATTATAATAAATATAATTGATGATAATATAAGCTTTAGTGGTTTCCTGCTCTCCGTTATGGAGAAACTTATCAATCAAAACGCTTACATCAGGCTCCTCTGCGTCCATTATAGAGAGGCGTTTGGTATGCGGAAGACCTCAATAACATCAAATTATTTAACATTTATAAAATTGTCCGTTATAGAGAAGTGTCTGATAATAGAAGTTCCACTATATATTATGCCCCTCCCCCAATGATTGACACAACTCATCTTTGTAAAATAAAGAAATAATTTACGATGGTTTGAATTATTAGGTTCTGTCAAACATATGAAGAATTCTTCCAAATTATTTTATTTGTTTTTTCGTCGGCATCCCAAAAGATCACTGTCGTCAAAAAATAATTTATATTCCCTTATATCGCCCTATAATTCAAGAATTTTAACGTAGTGGAGACTTTACTCTTAATTACCTAACAATATATCTATGGGAGCATTCTCACAACTGATGGTGTGATATTGTCGTATCACTCAACCTTCGAGCAAGCTAGGTTTGGATTGTTGCCCTTTTGAGGGCCTGATACGGATCCAAGTTATTTTTATAAGGGCTCTATCCTAGTTTTGTATTTTTAATACAAATATAATTATATGATTAGAACATATCGCATATCAGATTATTCTAAAAAAAAAATTAAAGATAAAAAGTTAATACTACATTAGTTTATTCTTTTTAAATATTCGGAAAAGGGTTAAATATTGGCGAATAAATCATGAAATATTAAACTGAATTGGAGAGTAATGAATTTACATTAAACAATTAAAAATTTAAAGTATAATTTCTAATAATAAAACAAAGACATTTGATCCATAAGTCCTACTATAACTTATTTATTTAACTCAAAGTTTCAGCCCTTTTTTTCGTTTTCTAGGAACGAAACCCCACTTTATAAAATAAATGTGGGCTAATTTCACAATGTCAAATTCCTTTATAAAACACTGAAAAAAACAAAATGTATTAAATGAAAGAATGTGACATAGGCAAATTAGTCCAATTGATTCCATTTGATAAAGTGAGGTTTCTTCCTTTGAAAATGGCCTTAAGTGTTGAAACGCTGAGTGAAATAAAAAACAAAGTACGAAGTAATTATCAAACGTGTTTTTTATAATAATTACAAAAATAAATCAAGCCCTAAATAATTGTATTATATATATATATATATATATATATATATATATATATATATAATACAATACAATATATATATTGTATATTGTATTATATATATTATATATATATATATATATATATATTATATATATATATATATATATATATATATATATATATATATATATATATATACCCGGAGGGTATTAATTGATAAAATCTTGTACTTTCATTCAGTCTAGAATGATCCGATAAGCTGAAATAATTCGCCTTTCCTACCTCAGCTGTCGTACACAAAGGCTTAAACCTGGTCAAAAATTTAATGATGTAAAAAATAAAAATTTGGGAGTACTATTACTCGAATACGAAGTGCATACGAAGCCGAACATAATCTATCGGTTAAATGACATTGAGAGCTATATCACATACAAGTTTTTTCTTTCATGTTACAGAAAAAAAATTAACAGCATATTTTCGGTGTGGTTTGGGTTGATTACTCCATTCAAGGTCCTTATGTAATCCAAACTGAGGAGGAGAACGAGTTATCCATAGGTTACTAATCTATTCCCAACTGAGGCACGGACGGATGTACAGTGGAGAGGGGGGCTTTGGGCTAAACCTCCCCAAATGCTTATGAAAAAATATTAAAGACTATTTTTCTCCAAAAGTATTATTAGATCGTGTAATTACACTTTGATAGGACTTATCGGTAGTTAGTTTCTCTCCTTTTCATCCAAAGTAATTATCATATATAAAAATATTCTTTCGATCTGAAGTTAATGAGCTGAAATTCTTAAAATTTTGATTGATTCATTATAATTTAATCGATACAATTTAGTAAATATTACAACTTAAAATCGAATATTAGGCTTTATTGAAAAAAAAAGTTATTTTAAAACAAAAAAAAAAATTACTCAACCTAAGATATAGTATAAAACTATATCAAATATTGAATCGGGTTGTGTTTCACATTTTCACATTACATTTACAACCTTAAAAAAATTTGGAAAGAGGAAAAATCTAAAACACGACTTATATAGTATGACAAAATTTTCCGAAAATGCTCGAACGCTTACAACGAAACAACGTTTTCTAAAAGAGATAACCCAGAGGAATGTATAGGTAAGTAATAAATAATTTTATGATTTTTTTTTTTTCAATTCTGATACTTCAATCTGGATACTATCCAGATTGAAGTATCCAGTGGATAGACCAACCTTAACAAACTATCAAAACATATATATACGATGATTGTTCATAATATCAATTTTAGCCAAATCTAGGAAGTAATTCTAAAATACAGGAAAATCCTAAACAAATTCATTTTTACATGTATTATGTACAATGTTTATTTTTAAAACTTAGTAAATATGCGTATGACCCTTGGATCAGTCTTCGCAAGCGATAGTGTTCACGGTCTGCATTAAAAATAATAATAATTAATATAATACGCATAAGAAAGGTTCTTAATTTTGTATACAATTAAAATACAAACACTGATACATGTAAAACTCTCTACATACATATAATACACCCTCTACACTAGGAATTTCATTCACATGAACATTTAACGAATAAAACTGGTTAACCATAAAAAAATTGTTATACTTATTATAAAAACTCCAACATTTTAATTATTTATTAACAGTTATTATTTGATCTAATGGCAACAAAGATTTTAATGATTAAAATACACCTTTAGCAATGAAATATCTTTAAATTAAATATGTGTAAGTTGTACGCTTGTAAGCGGTATAGCAATACTTTATGGAATTCTAAATTCATTATCAATTATCTATAGCATCTTCAATTGTACAACTTACTTTATTTATGCAGGACTTATGTTGTTGTTTTTTCTAATCAGGGACCATGTTTTTAGATAAATATCCTCTGATAGCTCAAACTATTATAGTTATAATGGTAAAAGACTCAAAATCAAAATAATTTTTACAATTATCGGAACATTTAAACCCTGAGACAGATTAGAAATGAGGTTGGTATTGCTTATCAAGCCAGGTGACTGATACGAGACCAATGACATCTTCCTTACATCCAGCATCTTGTTCATTCGTTCGATTATGGTGTGATTTTAATCGACAAACATGGAATTTAAATGTATGTATTACAATTAATGAATATTTTTTAATATATCGGAGTTATATAACTTATATAAGAGAATACTGTCCGAATCTAATGTACTGATTGTGTTTATAATTTTTTCGGTGGAATACGATAGAAAGCAACCGGATACAAAAATTCTGCGAAACGGGAGGCCGAGTAATCGAAGGCTAGATCCGAATAAAGAATCGTGAAACAGTTATTTGCTAAGAGAGAGAGTTGGAACGGGCGTTTCGGAGATTCTCGCCGCGAGACTAAATCCACTCTCTCTCTCTGTAAAACTTTTCAACAAAAGATTCAGAAAACCATCCATCGGAATGCGGGAGTTAAAAACAAAATGTGAAATAAATTTCATTTATGAGTCGGTACGTTAATCTCATAAGAGTTATGAAGTGGCCCGACAAAATTTGACGCCCATATTACAGAATAGAAAATTAACAATACAATGTATTTTGTTATCAATTTAAAAATAAATTCTCTACGTATTTGTAGTGTATAGAAACGTATTGTTTATTCAACTTGAATAAATAATTTCTTACTAAGAATTAGTTGAATAAATGAGGAAGCGTTATTTGATTTTTAGAACTGTGTTTTATTGCTTATTGGTAGAATCAATTAAGAAATATGAATAAAATACGGGGAGTAAGGTTTGCAAACCGGTGGGAAGGTAACAGGTCTTTCAGCAAACCTCACCTCTATGTTTGTAAACATAGCCGCAACTTGTACATGCAGTTTCTTTAATAGAATATGTTAAAAAAAAAAATTAATGAATAATCGGATTAGTTGAGTATGAGAAAGCGGGTTAAGGAAATATTGTTGTATTTTAATTGTTCTAGAGAAATTGGGATTCCGATTGAATGAATTCAACAATTGGGAGGAAACAATACATCGAAGGTTTTAGATTAAGGGGTGTAATTAAAGGATAAGCTATCCGTAAGTGATTTGAACGAGTGGATGGATCTGAGTTGTACAACGTTTGGAGTTGGGCTTCCAGAATCGGTGGAGAGTTGGGTTAAAAACTAAATGGCCTAATCGAAAATTGTAATTAATGCTATGTACCTTGTTGATCTGTGCTAGGGCAAGCTCGGCGTGGCCCCAGGCAGTCCTGACGTAGACATCGGAAGCCCTGTCAGCTAACATCCTTGAGTTGAGCGCACATTCCACTGACAGCACACAGAGGCCTCTAGCCGCCCGGCCCCGACTGACTCCCTCTCGAAGGACCACACAGCACGCTCCCCACTCTTCTTGCTCCGGGGTCACTCTGTCCCCGCTAAATATCCTAGCTCTCTTCCTCACCTCTTACAATAATTAACTTCTTTTTTTTTTAACCCCTTCTATATCTCATCTCTACTGTCTTTTACACTTCATTGCCCCTAATCTATCGGCCGTTCAGAGGCATTCGGTCCCTTCTTTCCGAAAAGTCCTGTTTTATAACACACTTATCCTAAAACCCCTCATGGAAATTATTGAACATTTTCCAACATTGCCCGTTATCCATTTGTAAAATAAACGATATAAGGATATCACGAAACATATCGACAGCCTACAATAATAGGCCAAGTAATATCATTCTTGACTAGCCTACATTTAATAAAATATTTATAATAACATTTTTTTATTAAGAGAGAAATACCTTATTAAAAGTAATGCTGCCCTACACAGCATACTTATCAATCCATATGGACGTTACTATTATATTACATTTTCCTATTTTTTTAAATATATATATGACATATCTTTCTTTTCTTTTTTTTCTTCCTTTTCATAACAATACTCTTATAAATTATCAACAATAAACCATATTAAACTATAAACATTGCATAACAAAAATTTTCCCAAGATAAAAAAAAAAAAATTAAATTTTCAAACGCCAGGAACTCAATACAACATCGCAAACATATATACCACAGTAATTCCTCCAATGTAGATAAAAAGATAAGACGATTAAAGAAAAATAGCTCATTTTCTTTTATTCATTTTTCTTTATATTTATTTTACTTATTATTCAGTTTTTTTTTTTATAGCATATTAGTTATGTACTTTTATTTTCATTTTATATATTATTTTCTAGTTATTTCATTTTTAAGAATTTTATATTATCACTATTTTTTTTTTAAGCCTATCAGCTAAATATTTTAATATCAGTATTATTTCATTGATGAGGTGCTGATGACCAAGATATTATAGGCCTGAACATCAAAATGACCAATCGAATTACTGAGCAGCATAGAATCCAATCGGTAAAAAAAAAAATATTAATAATATAGAACAGGGGTCCCCAATATTTTTTAAATTAAGGGCACATTTATAGGGTAACAGTCACCACAGGACATTAAACATTAAATAAAATTTCTTTAAAAAGGAAGGAGATGGTCCGGGGTGGCGGTCATAAATAGGCTTAATAGTGGCAAAACTATTTTATTAAAAGCCAATATTATTGCCACTATTCAACCTATTTATGACCGCCACCCCGGACCATCTCCTTCCTTTATAATGCAACGGTCAACTATTAAATATTCAATAAAATTTCTTTATTTTAAATATAAGTGCTAAAGATAATTCATTTACCAGTGCTTCATAATTTACAGACAATTATTTATAATAATTTTAGATATAAAAAAAAAAAATTATTTTTTATTTGTTTACAGACCATCAAATACCATGTAAACAATATTTTATTTAGTTTATATATATTCTATATAATTCTTCCAGGATATTTACTGTTAATCTCTCAAAATCAAGCTCTTCCAAAATCAAATCCTGGATTCGCCACTGAGAGCAACTAAATAACGATTAGATACCTTTAATGCAAAATTAACAACTTCGTTACTTAGTTTTCATCCCTGAAAAAAGAAAGTAGTAAAATAATGATGATGATTGGCTGAAAAATATTGTTAGAAATACAAACAATGATTATTTTCAAACCAACTCGACTATATGTTCAACAATTCAGTTATAGGGTATGAGTTTTTAAAAAAGAATAAAACTCTAACAGGAATGCTCCATAATGTAGTTACCAGCTACCGCGGTGATCGCTGTTGCAGGTTAGGGTTGGCGAGCACTATTTTATTCGCGGGCAAACGTGACGTCACGCGGACACTGAGCTGAGGTCTTCTTATACAGATGAATAATATTGATAATACTGACAAAATAGAATAATGAATTGTACGGAGTAAAATATGTTTTTGTTTTGGGGAAAAGGCCTATACAGATTTATTTATAGTATAAGCAACAGTAACGAAAATTTAATAACAAACATAAAACAATAAAATAAAGAAAAGGAATACATAATAGGAGCAGATTTAATTGACTTTAAGAGGGTACAAAACAAACAAAAAATCCGTATCAGGCTTCGTTACTAATAGTAAATTTGTTCTTTTATTTTTATTTACTGTATATACTTTTTGATTATTATTTAGTTGTTATATTGCTTCAGTTTCTTTAATATTTTCTATATGTAAACTGTGAATGTAGTCTTACTTTATTATTACCGTTGTCCGTGTGATAGAATGTTATACTATCCAATAAATACAAAAATAAAAAATAGTAATTTAAATGAAGACATGTATATTGCTGTTTTACTTAAAATCTAAGCTATGATCATCGTCATTAAATTACATCATTTTAACAGCTTCTTCGGGTCATGGTTATTCTTGTGTGTTTCCAGATTGCGGAAATGAGCTTCATGATACAAAATAACTAATTTCGTTATATATAGAAATATTGTGTTGAAAAATTGAGAGCTTATTCCAAATGAGTTAAACTATCCCAACTATTAAAGTTTTATTTTCCTTTAGGGGACGTCCCATGTTATATTCAGGGGTGCCCATCAAACGTTGTTCTATGGTGCTTGCCCCCTCCCCCAGCAGGATGTTTTCTTGCTCTCCTCTTCTTAAAAACCAAACGAAACTAGAATTTGAAAATATTGTAGTTCATATAAAATTAACCTTGCAGTGATCTGATCCATGTTTTCTTTTGTTCCCTTGTTGGAGTGATCCTTGAAAAATGCATAACTCCGTTCATTCAAAATTAAAAAAAAAACAATGTGAAATTAATAAAAATAAAATTAAATGAAATTGATTAAAATTAAAGCTAAAATAAAATAATCTTACAAATCGCCAGACTGTACAATTTACACACACAAAGCTTGGGGAACTCCAAACCAAACCTGTCCTCTTACTTTCGGGGCAAAGTAGGACTTGAGGAGATCCCAGCGCTTCCCAAGTGGGTCAATGTTATTGACGACCACCAGTGAAGGTTGGGGTCCAAGCTCTCGATAACCGCAGACGCTGAGGTCTTAATTGGAGATTGTGGCCAATGCCAGAGAGCTCCAATATACCTGAGCATTTCCTCGAAGGGAGATAATCACATTCTTTCCATCTAATTATTTTTCTCAAAATAAATACCTAGCTGATAAGTAGTTATAGTTTTAGACTAGAAATACTTATGAAGTATTACATAAATAAATACTGTTACCAAAATATCTTATTTTCCAGATACAGAACAATTATAAATATATATTTTTTTTTATGTGATTAATATAACATTCTGTTACACGGACAATAGTTATAGTGAGGTGAGATTCCATTCACCCTATATATATATATATATATATATATATATATATATAAAATATAAAATATACGGAAACAAAATAAGAACTAAATAATAATCAAAACGTATACAATTAATACAAATAAAATAACTTAAAGATAAGTAAATTAAAAAAACCGACATACCTATGTACGATAAATACTATTTAATATGATAACTTAATTTATTCAGTTCTGTTGTACCGAATACGGACGGATCGTATGGATCATTCCAATTCAGTAAAAAGATAAAATAAATAAAAATACCGTTCTAATCTCTCCAGTGTTTCCTCTATTCCATTAGAAAAATAAAAAAGATCTTACAAATTTGAATTTGACAACGGTGACCAAAAGTAACAAAAAAGGGAGACCTGTGCCACAAGAAAAGGCAAGCTACATTTTCGAAGTCCCGACTTCTATATTTGTATTTTCCATGTTGCTTCACAGCTTAATAAGTAAATTTCAGCGCCCAAGGTACTAAATTTTTCTATACCCTCATCCTCTAGGAATAAAAAAGTAGATATACGATTTTTTTTTTTTAACACTATCTTTTTACTGTTAATTTTTTTGTGAAACTAAACAGATAAGTTAAGTTGTTTTCTGCTATAATTTTGAGTCAGGCTCTATTTGAACGGGGAATTTCCCCAAAGGCAAATACCATAGATGGGATAACTTTGGGACAGAGTGGGTAACTTTAGAACAGCAGATGAAATTTAGTTTGTGGTGAATCCGTGGTGGATACACTGTGTTAGTTCAGTATGCCAAATCGTGTTTTGTGTAGGCATATAATGCGCTACTACCTTGCTGCACACTACTCTTGAGGCACAAGCGAAGGTTTCAACTGCACGACTGTTGTGAGCTAAGATTCTCAAAATGCCGCAAGGTAGTAGCGCATTATATGCCTACACAAAACACGATTTGGCAGACTGAACCAACACAGTGTATTCACCACGGAATCACCACAAACTAAATTTTACCCGCTTTCCTAAATTTACCTCATCTTACGGTAAATTTACATTCTATTCTACTATTTTTACAAATAAAATGAAAACATATTGAGATTAGATAAATAGAAAATGAAATAAAGACAATCAAAATGAAAGTTAAAGTAAAATTATAATATAAACTGTCATGTTTATCTCTAATTCAATTAGGTTCGAGTTTGTGGCAAGATTTTCGAATATTTCATTTAAGCTACGGTTTAAAACTTCATAAATAACATTTAGTATATTTAAAATTGAAGTAACGTCCAATTTATATCAATTAGACGCCATAAGTTTTGATACTTTGGCTCTTTTTGTCTTGATCCTTTATTTCTAACTTAATTTATTCAGTTGTTTGAGCGGTTTATCAGTCATTCTCCACTTGCAGATTATCACAATATTTTTAGTAATAGTACCGATTTTGTAGAGATCTTACATTATTATAACGTACTCAAGTCTCATTATAAATATTTAAAAACTTATGGTTTGTTGACGGACTATAATTTGTGGTGAACTGTCCTGCTAAATGCGATTGCCGAGGTGTGGGGAACCGAGGGCCTCCCTCACACCTTTGGATCATCAATCATTCTACCGGCCGCTCCTCTAGCCTGCATTGGAATTTCTTCAAAGCTCCCTCATTTTCCTA